CATACAAACGTACATATATATAAATGTACAATATACATACCTACATATTGTATATGTATATTCGCAAATATGAAGGTACATAGCAATGAATTCGTCAAAAGCGTTTATATTTCTCATTAATTATGCCATCAACAGCTTTTGCGAACAATTTATTGTATTGATAAATGCTCTTACACGTTCCAATATTTTTTACATACTTTTCGCCACCTTTAATTTTAATATGCACAATCTATGTATTATAAAAAGTTTACGTGCGAGAAGAAAAAAGTGAATCGGGCGCGTTTTCGGTATCTAGCCAATAATGCTTGTTGCTGCATATGCAAATATATAAAACCACTGCCCACACCACTTCCAATTTTCGCGTTTTGTTTACGACATGCGCATTCGCTTTGCTTGACATTTGGTATTCTTTGAGCTCTTCGTTCCGTTATACCTCTCTTCTTTAATTTCAAACGCCGTTTACGCTTTTGTTTTAGTGTATTTTAGCTTTCCATTCTAGTCTTGTATTTTCGTTCTCTCCGCAATTGACTATGTTGATTTTTGTTTTGTCATTTACCCATTCATTTATCACTTCGTTGTATTCAACAGCTCGTGCCTGCAAAAACTGTACTTGCGATGCCACGACCGCCTATTGTCTGTCCACAACAACGAGAGACGAAAAAAAAAAACAAGAGCTTTGCGACAATATGCCTAGATCGTTTGTTGGGGTTGTCCAAAAGCATACATGTGTGTTTTTGTTGTATTCTATTGTTGTTGGCCTCGGTCAATTACGCACATATTAGCAAGTGGAACAGAGGAAGAAAAGCGACGAATTGTCAAGTATACACAAGGGCCGTTTTCACCAACTCTGGTTAACACTAATCGCCAGTTAAACATCGTTGCCGACGTTACCGATACAACATAATATTATTATTAATATTACATATAATTATTATTTATTACTATTATTAATATTACATGTAGAATTTTACATGGTAAGTGCTATGCGTTGGGTAACCGCTTACACGCGAAGCCCATTTAACAGATTCTTATGTGACAACTCTCATGCAACGCTAAGTTTGAATAACTGGGCTATTAACCGGGTATGGAGAAAACGGAAAAGGCCCTAAGGGCCGGCTGTTCAATATCTACTTGCCGGTTAAACATCACTATCGACGATTTCGACATCATGCATATAACATGGGGTACGTTCAGAAATGCATCAAGCCAAAGCATCAGTCCCTTTTACTTCTAAACTAGAAGGCCACAACCGCCTGGTGTAAACGGTCCTTCAACTAATCTCTTTCAATGAAGTTGGTCGGATGCCTACTTTCGTTCAACTTTTGATTCAACTAATCGCCTGTGAAAGTAGAATCACGTAAATTCCCTATAAGTGTTGTATTGACGTATATTGTAGTATTTAAAGGCTAAATAAATGTTTAGAGGACTTGAAACCACAACCAAATATTTTTTAACTGTGTGGAATTTCACAATACGGCTTTTTAGCTTGCGAATCCCTTTAATAGTGTTTTACCCGTTTAAAGTTTATGACATACAACAATGCGACAGTATACAACACCTTGTCAACTTCCTAAATAATTGTGACTAGAAATCTCAAAGAGGAAAATTGGAGCCGCCTATGCTATGGATTTTCTTATGCTGTGAAAAAAAGGGAAGAAGATACGTCCTTATGTACATACATATGTAAGTAAGATACATGTTTTTACATTTACATTTATTAATTTCAGCTAGTTATTTTCAAAAAAAAACTTACCCGAATATAGAAATGCGCATATGTATGTATGTAATTACTTTTTTCGGAACTAAAGTTCGTCTTTTGGAGTCATATTTTTCTTTTATCGTACGTGTAGATTTTCATTTAATTCACTGCACTTTTTAACAATGGGAAACTGTTTCAATTCTTAAAATTGAAAATTGGGATGCATAAATCCCACGAACAATTGATTCTGAAAACGAGCACAACCACTTCTTCTGGAATTCACTGCGAAATGAATTTCAAAACGGTTTTGTACAATTTACTTTTTCTTTCTGGTTGATTTTCATCGCTCCATTACCTTATTCACTCATTTGGTTGGATTTTCTTTTTTTTACGAACCTATCCTCTCAAGCAATTCTCTATTTATTACATATTACATATATATAGTACATATTTAATTTTCTATGACTTTGTTTTATAGGCGTTTTCGCGTCTTCTGACGTTACGTTTTGGACCCTATTTCGTTTCGTTAGTCTAGGTCAGTGATGGAAAAGCAGGCACATAGGGCCATTTTTGGCATTTTCATTCTTAGAGCACTTTTGCCAAAGAACGTAGATAACCAGAATGGACAACTCGTTATAATTGTAACGAAAGTGCAAAACAAGGGCGTGCCTTCTCTTTTGCTCTAGTGCGTTTTTTGATTGGATGAAAGGCTAACGGCCCGCCTCCACAGGCAAAAGTTTTTGCCTACCAACTGTCATTTTTATTGCCTGATAAAAATTTTATCAGCGGCAATATTTGTGCGTGGGCATTTTTTATCTTGATAAAAGCATTTATAAGATGGCAATTTTGCCGGATTTCATCAATTAAAAAGTTTAAAAAGTATGCTATTTCACACCCAAGCAAATAATAACACATATTTTAATAGAAAACTGTTCAATTTTTGCTTTTATATTGAAATATCGATAATGTTGTCTCCACGAAGCTATCGCGCAAATGAAAATGTAGCTGTCAATGTACCAAATTGCTCGCAATATTTATCAAGATAAAAGCTCTGATTATTATTGCTTGCCAAGAGCAATATGCGGTCTCCATGGGCAAAATTTTGCCTGATAACATTATCAAGATAAAAACTTTTGCCTGTGGAGACAGCAAGTAAGGCACGCCCCTGTTGCACACTTTCGTTACAATTATAACGAGTTGTCCCTTGTTGTTATCTGCGTTCTTTGACCCAAGTTTACGTGATCTACAAGTTACAAGCGTTTAACAGTTCATTATCATTTACGGTGTAATATTAATTATTATACACTGAACTATGAACTATGAACTATCTGTACTATTATCTATAATAATAGACAATAATTTGCAATGTTTTTACACTTTTGCAATTAGTTTCGGGCACTATTCCACATTCATGACTTGCGCCACTCTGCCATAGTACGATTGTTGCTCCCTTTCATACCACAGTAATTTTGTATACAACTCTGAATCAACAAAATGCATGCTCCTTCTCATTTTCAACCCTGATCAGATTTTACCCGAGGAGTACTCAAAAAGGTTTATTACTGTATATACTGTGCATTCAACTTTGATGAAATAAAGCGAAACGGAAGCAACATTAAATCATAACAAAAAAAAAAAGAAAAACGATTTGTTTTTTCTAAATACAAGTCCACGGTGAGAAATTAAATATATTCCAAACTAATAAAAATGTCCGTGCGACCGAAGTTTGCTGGTACTGGCCTAGAGGAAGTCAATATTCCAGGGCAAGCATATCTCCGAGAAGCGCTTACATCATGCACCGATCCTCTAAAGGCGATTGAAAGCTTTCAGGTTTGTGTTTCTACATATGTATTTGACACAAAATACTATCTCGAAAATAATGTTATTTGATTTGTAGCTGGAAAATGGTGTGCTTTTACCGTCTTTGCGGCCGATGTTGCCACTTTTGGATTTGCATGGTGTGCGGCGTCTGGATTTTCACACTTCGCTCATGGAGGTAAGCAAAACAGAATTTGGTTTCTTTTAGTGACTAGTGATATTTATAAATTCATAGGAGTTGCGGGAAAAGCTGATTGCACATATTAATGAGTTGGGGCAAAAGGATCCGCGTGAGCGTGACAAAAAATTGAAGGAATTGTTGGTAAAGAGTTTTCCCGTTGTCAGGGTTAAAGCGCTTAGACCAGTAGTAATGGCGATTTTACGAAATACCCAACATATTGATGACAAATATTTGCGAATTTTAGTACGCGATCGAGAACTCTATTCGGATACAGACACGGAAGTAAAAAGACAGATTTGGCGCGACAATCAATCTCTATTCGGTGACGAAGTTTCGCCACTTTTATCACAGTACATTCGTGAGAAAGAACATGTCCTATTCGATCATACAAATTTAAACAATCTTTTCTTTCACCCATCGCCAAAGGTGCGGCGACAGGGTGAAGTAGTGCAAAAGTTGGCGAATATGATAGGGCAGAGTGTGAAACTATACGACATGGTATTGCAATTTTTACGCACCTTGTTCTTACGAACCCGCAATGTTCATTATTGTACTCTTCGTGCCGAGTTGTTGATGGCACTTCACGATTTGGAGGTTCAGGAAATAATTTCCGTGGATCCATGTCATAAATTTACTTGGTGCTTGGATGCTTGCATTCGCGAGAAGAATGTTGACATAAAAAGATCTCGCGAGCTGCAAGGTTTTTTAGACAACATAAAACGTGGACAAGAGCAGGTTTTGGGCGATTTATCGATGACGTTATGCGACCCATATGCTATCAATTTTTTAGCCACGTCAGCAATTAAAATTTTACAACATTTAATTAATAACGAAGGACTGCCTCGCGATAATACCATTCTCATCTTATTGCTGCGTATGCTCGCCTTGGGATTGAGTGCGTGGGTAATGATTGATTCCCAAGATTTTAAGGAACCAAAACTTGACTGCCAGGTTGTTACAAAGTTTTTACCTGCGCTAATGTCACTTATGGTGGATGATCAATGTCGTAGTTTGCATTCGAAATTACCTCCAGACGAGCGTGAATCTGCACTTTGCACGATTGAGCACTCGGGGCCTGCACCAGATGCCGTTGAGGCGTATATTCAGGAGAGTTCTGTAGCCAGCATATTGGCGATGTATTACACTTTGCATACGGCACGCCTGAAAGATCGTGTTGGCGTACTGCGCGTTTTAGCAATATTGTCTGCTTGCAAGGATGACCGTGCCTACGAAGATCCATTCCTACATTCACTTGTAAGTCAACAATATGCTCACATATAATTTAATATTCACAATTATTTGCATGAACAATGTTTGCATTAATTATTTATCAAAATATAGTTCATCCCATAATATAAACCATATAAATCAAAGTTGCACACACAGTATGAATTTCCCGAAAATTCAAAAAATTATCATCAAAATTAAGATTTGTATTCAGAATTTCTAGAAAATTTTCGAGTTTTTGTAGCTCAAAATGCAAATTTTGGCTCGCTAAAAATTACCGTTGACCTTTAGAACTTCTATGTGAAGGGTGCTGTGCGTTTTTTTCCATATAACGCTTAATCAAAACTTATTTGATTTATTTGGTTGATATTATCGAATGAACTATATTTTCGTATATCGTCGTTTAAAGTAAAAAAACCGCGTATCAACAAAATTTAAAACCGCGACGAATGGATAATGATTGAGCCAAGAGCTTGTATGAGCAAATCCAATTTTTGGCAGCAAATGTCAGTTACGCGGCTTTGCGGAATGACGATTCGCGGTTTTGCACTTTAAACGACGATATTCACCCTCATTGCGAGAGTCGTGTCGAATGCAAGTCGTTTTTCGAGAGCCGAATGGTATAGAAAGTTTCACGGTAAAACTTTGCAGAACTGTACACTTTTCGACGATTTTCGTCGTTTACTTAAGAGCGAAATACACAACACAAGCGGCTTGACAAACTAAGCGAAATTTCCCTTTGCCTCAAGCCATTTGTGCTGTCTATGGGGTGTTTGAAGGTTCGACAAGCCGCTTGAGGGAAATTTGAGCAAAAATCAAATTTTTTTGATTTTCTGGCCGCCATGTTGACGTTTGATCAAACCGCTTGCGATGTGGATGGTAAAATCGCCTCAATTGCAACTGAAATTTCACCAAGTGAAGACGTAAGGGAGAATAATGGTAGAAAACTAAAATGTTTTACATTGTTAACCGAAAGAAAACTAAAATTCTGTGCTTGAACGACTCATGTTTGCATGGTCTATGGCAAAATGGGAAAAGTATGTTTGACAAGCCGCTTGTGTGGTGTATTTCGCTCTTTATTTTACCACCACAGTAGACAATGTCAATGTTGTCGAAGCATGGGGCTGATTATATTAGACTTAGGTGTACACATTAATTTAACGCTCACAGTACATATCGTTACCTTATTAGTTATATATAGAAAGGCCCTACCAACCAGTTTTGTTTTTTTGCAAAGTTATTTCAGAAACTTAACAATATTTTGCATTTTTTAGTTGGAAACTTCTTTAAAGTTATTTTTTTTTTTTAATTCAAGCCTTCAATTTCCATTAGGTTTTTAGTGATAAGTTGTACAAAGTAGGATTTTCAAGAAAAGGAGATAGTGCTTATTTATATTACGGTAACGAACGATATGTGTCTCGATATACATATATGTACTACATATCCAACTCAAATCAAATTAATGCATTGAATTTTTAGATCGCATTGCTTATCCCAATGGCGGAAGAATTTTCCACTGAAGATTTTTGTACTACGCTCTTCGATGAATTCCTCTTCGCTGGACTGACACGCGATAATGTTACGAGGCATATGTTAAAGCTGTTGTGGTATGTGCACAATAAATTGCCTACCGGGAGATTGGCTACACTCATGAAGGCTATTCAACCCACAACTGGCCATAACGAAACGGTCCACAAACTGTATGAAACACTCCAGGAACGGATCGGTGCGACTATGCACGAAGGTCCAATACCTGAACAACCAGAAATAGATTTTGATTCACCGCTGAAAAGCGTACCCACTCCTGGTCCTGCGTATATGCAGTGAGGTGATGAAGCGAAATTAAGACAAAAACATACATAATTTTTTCTTTGTATTTTTCTTTATAAATTATAAAATTTTTATATTATGAATGTATGTACATGCAATAAAAAAAGACTTGTACGCTTGCCAAATTGATGGAAAAACGTTTTCAACTCGATCTAGCACTACATTCAAAAATACACCAATTAACTTGTTAAATCGGGAAAATCAGCTCGCAAACATGTTAAATAAAATGCAGTAAGTTAACTTGTTAAGCCAATTAACATGCTCGGAAACAGTTCAGCGCAGTGTTGTATACGGAAGATTCCGATAAAGATTTAATGAACACGGTTGCTTTGAATTGAACATGAATTACTTTGAAATGTACATGTCTGCGTTTTCTCTATACTGAGATTAGTAGCTATACATAATACAAAGTACGATATGTGTAGCCATGGTTACTAGACCAGCATCTATGTAGACACCAGTCCCCATACATAATGGGGCTAGGACTCATAAATTGTATAGCCATTCGTGACTGAAGGCAAGGAGACACAATGGGAAATAACTAATAAAATTATTCAGCACAACTTGCAGAAGAGTAATGAACGGCTAAGCACCCGCTACAACAACAGCAACAAGGGAGTAATGAAAAATTGTATCTCAATACAAAAATTAAAAAGGTAAGCCAACGCTTAATTTTAAAACTTGAAAGTTTAAGATGCTGCTGATCACAGTTTTTTACATGCAATTGCGTAACAAATAAGAATCAAAATGTAAAGCTATGTATATATGTATTTCAAAGTAAAAGAAGCTATACATTTCAATCAGATCAGCTGTTTTTCTTGTAGAACATTTTTACCAGTAAGAATAAACAACTTTGGAAGTGTTCGCTTATATGAACGCCAAATCTGATACTTTTTGATAATTATCAGGTTTTTATTGTAGTTTTTGGAGATTCCTCTGCCAAATATAATTCTGGGTCGTTCCGGTTACGTAGGCCCGACTGTCGTGGGAACGAATTTTCAGGTTGTCGAACAGGCTACTTGTAGCAGCATAAACAATGCCTAAATGGGGAATAACTCTGTGGTGGCAGTCCTTAGGCAAATACACGTTCCACTATGTGTTTCTCCATGATTTGTTAAAGATTTCTAATACAACTCTGTGCTGAACTTGTTTTTAAATTTTTCAACAATAATTGCATGGTATTTAACCTGTTTACAGGCCGACTTTGGTCGTTTATCGCACTATAACGGTTGGCAGTCGTTTGTTTCTTTTTTCGTTAACAATTCGAAAATATACAATGCCTACATTACATCCCTTGATTTCGACAAATTTGCCTCGGTTTCCATATTCGTATTTGGAGGAGTCGTCATAACGACATCTGTGACAACACTTGAACCCGGTCTCATACAAAACTCGAACAGCTCGTGATATTCCATATACAACCGCTGCCATTTTACATGCGGTTTAAGTGTATTCAGCACGTTCTCTAATAATTGATGCTTGGGCACTGCCTTTTGTTTTTAAGGATAAATATACATTCAAATGTATGTATGTACACATTAGAATTGATATTGTTTTGAAAATTTACAAATTACCAGTATTTTGTGATCGAGCCCGCCATTACGTGGTGAAGAGCCCAGCAAATCATCCAGTAATATCCTTAAACGTTGTTCAGTCCCGCTAAGCGCCAGCTGATACGCGTACATGTTGTACCAGAAAATCAATTCTTCGGGGGAATTAATGGCTTCTGCTATCATAAGTTGATTTTCTATAAAATTCAGTTTGGCACTGGACTGCCAGTCCTGCATATTCCTATAACGAACAAACAACTTTAATAAATGGGAGGTATTAGCTGATCTGCTAAATACACAGAAAAAGAGAGCATTTCATTTATTCAGCAGATAAGAAATTCATATGACTTACATATCTACTGAAGTGTTCATGGCAGCAAATGTATTGGTTGCAGCTTGTGTGGAAATCAATGGATATGAAAAATAGTTTTTCTCAAAATCTTTAGGAATCGTGGTTTGCAGACCATGACGTACTAGAGGATCCTTATTATTGAGTACAAGCCATGATTGCAGTTGCGGCGAATATGAATAAGCACTACCATTGGCATATAAAATCATCGGTATGCCGTCTTCTGTGATATTAAATTGTACAACCGTGCCTAGCTTTCCGCCAATATCATTACAAGTCGTTGATAAAAATATACGCCGCTCCTCAATGTGCCAGATGCGTAAAGTGCCGCAGTCGGTAACCACACCAACCAAGCGACCACTGGGACACTTAAATAAGAAAACGAAAAATGTATATTACAAGAATCAACTTAGATATGTATTAATGAGGTATGCACTGTGACATAAGATTTATACTCTCTGCCTTTGACAATGCTTCTGTTGAACCAAGACCCCAAAAATTCCAGGGGATCTTAAGGAAGTAAGTCATCATCGCAATCGACTAGAAAATTGACTGTCAAAAACTCTTCGAGAATTGTTTATGCTGTTACAACAACTACAAAGATGAAATGTTGTCTCTTTGGTCGATTCACAGAAGAGACGAGAGTTCGTTAAACCTAATGCTTAGATTGTGCAGGCAAACCCTCAGTCTACAGTGTCCTGTGCGATTACCTTTGACGATACCTAATTAAGATTGATGAGGAATGGCTCAGGCCATAATGAAGTTGTGGCTATCCTAGCTAGTTCGTACACTATCTCATTTCCCTCTTCACCTTTATGTGCTACTCTGAGAAACAATCATATACTTCTTTCTTCTCAAATACTATTGTCCGATAAGACGACTTCTAACACTAAATGTACAAGCCGTCTGGGTTTGTCAGGATAAGGTTAAGATTAGAGTCTATTGAATTAAATATGAATCCCCTTGAATATTTTTAGGCGCATACCAGTGTTGACAAAATGTTAATCTGATTAACGATTAAAAATAAACCATTAAAATGTTAATCACGATTAACGATTAAAATTAATTAATCGTAATCAACTGTACGATTAATGATTACATTTTTTAATTGTTAATTGTCGGTTGTGATTACGATTAATTAATTTTAATCGTTGATCCAATTAGAAAAGAAAATCTTATTACGTTCCAGTTGGTCCGAATTTGAAACCAAACACCAGTGATTTTGTGCTTCACGTGAGATTTTGGCTAGGTTGGTGTTGAATTCCATCTAAGAACATTATCCTTTCGTTAGGTGCAGTCCATTTTGAAAGAACTGCTCTCGAACTTCCCTCTAGTTATGACTATGTCATTAGCATAGCATATATTATTAGTGGCTTGGATGTAGCGGTTCTCGCTTCTCCATTAACTTTTTCATATGACTTATCGACGTGAGGGATTTTGTTAGCGTGTATTCTCTACTTTCAACCTCTGAAACCTATGATGGAATCATTATGGGCTGTTGCCAACAACGTTTCTTTCTCTTTGCCCCAAGTACTGCCGGCCAGCGACTTGAGGACATTGTTTCGGCTCTGCACTTTGTTGACAATTGCGGTTGTATGCGCCGAGAAGGAGAGCAAACTGTCGAAGGTAACCCCCGAGGATTTTGGGGTTATTCACCGGCGGTATTGTTACGCCATCGACGTGAATACCCAATTGCAGTCTGACCTCCCTTGTGCAGGTGGTGAATAGGGTTGCCGAGGATTTCGCAGGGGATAGGGCAAGGCTCCTTGCAGTGAAGAAGCGAGAAAGTTCGGCGAGATAACCGTTTACTTTGGAGCACATGTCATCAATTCCATTCCCAGACGCCATGATCGAACAATCGTCAGCATAGGAGACAATAGTAACACCCTCTGGTGGTTGAGGAAGCTTTGAAATGTAATAATTAAATAGTAGTGGGGACATCCTGTGGTACCCTCTGTTTAATTTTACGTGGCTTACTAGTTTTGTCTCCGAAATAACCGAGTGACCACTGGACCGATAGCGGGTAAAAAGTCTTTAGCCAGCCATCAATCCGACAGAGGCGGCCTAATCTCTATGGGTTTTACTTCTAGTTTTTGGATGGAGAAATAGGGACTTTAAAGGCTAGAATCCAACTACAACCGAACCTACAAAGATGCATATTTATGATGCCCCTGGCGAAACGTTGCATTTGACGATTTCATGAAATTTACTTACGAAAGTGCACTGAACCGCAGCTGAACTTATACTTATAACGGGCATTTTGGCTCTGCCAGTATGCATATCCATCAAACGCAATGTACCATCCATACTGCACAGCATCACGTGCTTATGGCAAAAATTCAAATTAACAATTGGCGAACCTAAAAAGACAAACAAGATAAGAGTTTTCCGAATTTCTTAAAACTGCATCCAATACAAACCAACTAAAATTTCCCAAAGTTTTTCTATCTGAGCCGGCCTTTGTATATTGTAGCCGGTCACTTTTGCCAAAAACCCACTACCAGTACCTAAATACCCATTGTGAACATGAACTCTATGGTCTAGGGCAGTTTTTTGGAATTCACATTTTGTGTTGCTATTAATAACCAATTTTGGACCAGTAGTAGAAGCTTGGTATGGTTTCACAGCTGTGGGTAAATGATCAGTTGCCAAGGTTGTTGCTCCGCTGAAGGGGGCGCTGGTAGATGACTTTGAAGTGACAATGAGCGGGAATGTCTTCACCGAACTATTTTCCGCTTTTTGGGGCTGTAATTTTGCAGCAGATGATGTAGTTTTTATAAGTCGGGCATCCAAGCATCTAGAAAGTGCGTTACATAGGCGAATGAGATGATTAATTCAAAATTGTTAATTCTCACATTTCTTGGGCCTCAGTTATCGTCGGTTTGGCAAATGTGCTCGTTCCTGGTGGATTCACTTCTGCAGATATGCTTGCTGTCGTTATTGCTGTTGATGTATTGGAATTCCATGCTGTTACAGCTGGAGAATTCGATACAAGGTGCGACGTGTTCGGAGACTCACTTCAATTTATATGATTTAGTCACAATTCAGTTATTATTAACAAAGAAATTTAGTGCGCTCTTACCTCACATCTTGATTAAGTGCTACAAAAACTGGAGTAATGCGTCGTTTTCCGTCAGCAGTTCTAGTTTCTGTTTGTTTCCTAACTGCATTAGTATTGCTTGGCCGCACTTCGTCGCTTCCTGTTGAACACAAATTTGT